TTTTTTTTTTTTTTTTTTTAAATATAAGATACTATTGGGCACCTGGGTGACTCAGTTAAGGATCCTACTCTTGATTTTGGCTCAGGTCAGGATCTCAGGTTCTTGGGATAAGCCCAATGTGGGACTGGTGCTGGGCATGGAGTCGGCTTGGTAGTCTCTCTAGCCCTCTTTTAGCCCACCCCGTTCGTTCCTTGCTCTCGAACTCTCAAAAAAAAGGGGGGGGGGATACTATTTTCTGTCCTTAAAAATAACTTTTTTTTTTTTCATTTGATCATTTAAACCATTACCAAGACTTCAAACTAGTGATTCCCAAGGTGGGAGGGGAAATGGAGTGGAAACAAGTAATTGTAAAGAATAACCATAAAATTTTATGCAATGATGAAATTTTACAAAAGGTAAGTACCTGAGGAGCATTTAATTACACATTTTTTTTCTTGCAAACACCATCATTCCAGGCCTCTGCTTTTAAGAAGTTTGAGTACATGGTTAATTGCACATAATGAAATGATTAGCATTGCCTCACATTTCCCTCCTTCTATCTTAAGTTCTACAGCTGGGTTTTAGCTAACTTCAGATTTCCTAATAAAGAAAAACCTGATAACTCCAAGGCAGACTCCAGTTTATTAATCTGAAAATGATTATTTTGAAATTACAGTGAAGAGCCCAAAAGAAAGACAGGCTCTTTAATCCTATTTGTGCAGATGAAGAAAATGTTTTCTAAGTTTACTCAGCTCTGTTTTTTTCAATCCAAAAACATCTCAGTTAAAAAAAAAAAAAAGTGTTAACATCAAGTAGTTTTCAACTTGAAAAGCATCTTTGAAATTCGATCATTTTCTCTCCTAGCTGTAGTCTGCTTCAGTTACCTCCTGGAAAATAGCATTTTTAGCAGATAATATATTATGGAAGAGTGGGTCTTAGGCTTTTGGATTTCCAGCACAAATAAACTCTGTCCTCCTCCAGTGGAAAAACATGACTAAAGAAACACAGGTTGCCATCTTTTACTTTAATTAAAAACAGTAGCACACATTAAAACAATTACCATCTACTGTCACCATTGTTTTTATAAAGGGAAGGATTTATTTCAACACTAAAAACAAGGAAAGGAATACTATCATAATAGAACAGTCTTTTAAAACAAAATTAGCTTCGTGAAAAATTCATTGTGTTATACTTATTTTTCTTACCATGGGTCTGCTAACATCATCCCAAGGCATGGAGCTAAATTTTTAGCAACTACAGATTAAGGTAACAAAATATTTGGCACGATGAATGTGAGATACTTTGATTTATTAGGAGAGCTACAAGACTATATTTACAAAATCTATATTAGCCAAGACCAATTCCTTGCCTGAAATCTTACCACAAAAGAAGGAATCAAGAAAAATCTTGTGACAGCTAGCAGTATTATCTGTACTATTACGTCAGCTCATATGTCTGTTCCTGTTTTTTTTTTTTTTTTTGGTCTATAAATTTGATATTCACTTTTGAAAGAACCAAAGACAGCTAAGTAAAAATGAATTAATTATTTATTTAGTTGTTAATTATTATAAAATGGACATCAGTAAGAATAATTGCAAGTGAGTAAATTTGTCATTTAAAATAGAAAAAAACACATGCAAATAGTCTAGACATTTTTGTTAACATTACTTTTGATCAGGGACAATGGAATATTTCTCAGGTTTCCTTTTATGAAATATAAAAATTTAATTATTTTCTTTAATGTTATTTGACAATAAATATTTTGGCTAAATGCAAATGAATGCAAAACAAAACAAAACTGTCCTTTTTTTTCAAGGTAAATATGCTCTCCTCTTCCCTTCTCCATTTCTGACTTGACTTTCCCCTCTAACCTGATTCCAATCCCCTCTACACCCTCTAGTTCTATTGAAGATGAATTATTTAGTGAGTAGATAGAACCAAAACTGAACAAAAAGCATCATATGATAGACCCTGAGTCATGTTATGCCCATAGGATTTTACCACTGTAACTTAAGAATTTTGACTTTGTGTATTTGTGTAGACAAATTAAATTACTTGTGTCCATGTGTATTCTGAGTATTCTGAGGAAATTCTACAGATGTCATATTTTGGATTATAGGAAATTTTAGGGGAGAAGGTAGAGGTTTAGAGAGTCCCAAATGATGCTATGTTAGTACCAAAATACCACAACAGGTGTATGCCATGGGCCAGGACTGAGTCCCTAGACTATAGCAGTGCTTGGGATAGGGGTGGGAGGGGAGTGGACCGTTTGAGAGATATGGATGTTGAGATGAGGCTGAGAAGGGGTGAATGTGAGACTTGTCCACTTAATACTTCTGTCCAGGAATGGGGTCTGACTCAGGCTTTAATCACTGTTTTAGTCCCTGATCATAACTTGGTTTTTGATGGGAAGCCTAAGTCTTTCTGCAATCAGTTTGTTTGTATTAATGAGCCATCACTGCCTACAAGATTATTCCCCACAAGAACTCATGAAGCAAACTCAACATTAAAGATGAGAAGTGGGTTAGAGGGTTGCACAGTAGTAATATTGCTACATGTCTTAGACACATCAAACACTGCTTGGAATAAAAAAATTTTATAGCACCATGTAAGTGATCCTGTAATAATAGTCTGGGAAACCATTATCAAACAAATTAAATCTTTAAATATTATTTTTGCCACAGACCAGAAAACATGCCTAGAAACTTTTGCCCATCAGGATTCCGCCAAGAAGATACATATTTTATCCATGAATTTTATTTTTTTAAAGATTTTATTTATTTATTTGACAGACAGAGATCACAAGTAGGCAGAGAGGCAGGCAGAGGGAGAGGAGGAAGCAGGCTCCCTGCTGAGGGACCCTGGGATCATGACCTGAGCCGAAGGCAGAGGCCTTAACCCACCTAGCCACCCAGGTACCCCTATCCATGAATTTTAGAAGCAGCTTTCTTATATCCAGGTACTTCTGTCTATGATAACTTCCTCTTCCTCAGTGTTGGTGTACTATTTGGGAAGGATACTTAAATCAAGTTTTACATGCTGATTCTGAGTCCGCAGGTTAGCTTCATTTCTTTATAAGCCACCACATGGAAGCAGGTCATATGATCATTAGTGAGATAAAGAAACTCTTTGGCAACTTTCATCAGGAATTAACAGTGTTCCAAACATCAGAGTGAGCTGTTCAATGGGCCCCTAGTTTTGCAAGTCTCATAGGGTCTAAGATTCAGTGTCAAAGGTATGTGAGGGGAGAGCAGAGCTTCTGAGGTTCAAAGTGTAAATATCATTTCTTGACATATCAAGCAAATTTACAACGTTTAGAAATAATTTTTTTCCCAGTGGTTTAATTATAATAATCATTTCTCCCTGGGTAGGGAGGTGGTCCAGAGCTGACACCACTCTGCCAACTTCCACTTGGTGCTTTCCACTTAGGGGGTCAAGGCAGCTACTCCAGCTCTTGCCAGTTCCCAGTCTTCAAGAGGGGGAGGGGCGGGGAGACTGAAGGAGTCACCTTAACCCATGTTGCATTGCTTCAGTTTTATTTTTCAGCTTTTTATTAAATAAAATTTACAAACACACATAAAGACAGAAATAATACAATAATGATC